GGAGCTGCCCGAGATCGATCCTCGCCGCCCAATCCACGTGGCAGCTCAGGTTCCTCTCTCAACCCGACGATTTCTACTTCAACACTCTCCAGTCCTCAATCCTCAGATCAAGAACCCTCATCAAGGACCTGGTCAACGCCGACGATGTTGACGAGATCTCTATTGTTGACAACGCCACCACGGCCACCGCTATCGTCCTCCAGAGGGTTGGGTGGGCCTTCACCGAGAACGTCTTCAATAAGGGCGATGCCGTCGTCATGCTCCATTATGCTTATGGCTCCGTCAAGAAGTCCATCCAAGCTTATGTGGCGCGTGCTGGAGGACACGTGATTGAGGTCCAATTGCCTTTCCCTGTGTCGTCGAGTGAAGAGATTATTGTGGAATTCAAGAAAGCTTTGAACCTGGGGAGATTGGATGGGAAACGAGTGAGGCTTGCGGTGATTGACCACATAGCTTCGATGCCGAGTGTGGTCATTCCGGTGAAGGAGTTGACGAGGATTTGTAGGGAGGAAGGGGTTGATCAGGTTTTTGTGGATGCGGCTCATGCGATTGGGAATGTGGAGATTGATGTGAAGGAGATTGGAGCAGATTTCTATACGAGCAATTTGCATAAGTGGTTCTTTTGTCCTCCTTCTGCGGCGTTTTTGTATACTAAGAAGAGTTTGGCTTCTACTGATCTGCATCACCCGGTTGTATCTCATGAGTACGGGAATGGGCTTGCAATTGAGAGTGGGTGGATTGGAACCAGGGATTATAGTTCACAACTTGTTGTGCCGGCAGCAATTGAGTTTGTAAATAAGTTTGAGGGAGGGATTGAGGGGATTCGGAGGAGGAATCACGAGAAGGTGGTGGAGATGGGGAAGATGCTAGTAGAATCGTGGGGGACGTGTTTGGGGACACCGGCTGATATGTGTTGTAGCATGATTATGGTTGGTTTGCCAGAATCTTTGCGGATTGAAAGTCAGGAGGATGCTATGAAGCTCAGGGCACATTTAAGAGATGAGTTTAAGGTTGAGGTACCAATATATTATAACTCGTTGAAGGATGGATGTGTGGGAGAGAAGAACGGGGTTGGTTCGGTTTCTGGGTATGCAAGGATTTCGTGTCAGGTGTATAATGTGGATGATGACTATTACAGATTCAGAGACGCAGTTAATAAACTTGTTAAGGATGGATTCACCTGCAGAATGATTTCATCTAGCTAGGAAGGTTTGAGATTTGAACTTCCCAATTTCTATTTCCATTTATCAGCTAGCTTTTGTGATGTAATATTCCTTAATAATACTCTACATTACCTGGGTATTGCTATTATGAATCCGTACCCAACAGGGACTGATACACACCTGATACTCCTTAAGCACTTCTATAATGTGTCATTGTCGTAGTATTGCATGTACACATATATTTGTTCTGACATGTATTTAGATATATAATGCCTATGCTTTAATTTAAAATGCTCATCATTACTTCTTGGACATGTATCCTACACTTCACATCCGCTTCCTGAAATTTGCTGAACGTGTCTCAGATTCATTTCACTCCATACCTGGTTCATAACTATGATTTTAAAGGTCATTTGGGTATCTAGTTAAAAAAAGTGGTTTTTCGGTTTATAATCTACAAAATAAGAGAAACATAAAACAATGTAAGAAATTTAATTTCATAACATATGAAATGACAAAATATTATTGGTCTTAAGGAAATTATTTATTCCAATATATGTATATAGCCCTGTCCCCATACCCTAGTTTTTACATATTTTCTGTGTCTTGCACCCACACCTGATGGTGCCCTTATCCATGCAACATAGTTAATACTTGATATGAGTGCTCTTGTTCTATTGAATAGCCTGCTACTGAAATATATCTGCCATACTATGAGATACCTACTTATTGGTGCTACACTTCGTAGACCTCCCTCTGTTTTGACTTTTAAATATTGTTGCTTGTGTGTACTTGTACTACTTATGAATTGATGCTTTATTGTTTAACAGAAGTTCAAACGACTGCCCAGACTTTACTCATAAATGAATTTAGATCTTTGCCTAGTAGCTTTTAATTGGATAAGTTCAGTGATCAGTCTACTACAATTGGATTTAACTCTCCAATCACTACAATTGTATTTAACTCTCCAAGCCTAGGAAATATGTGCTTCAGAACTTTGAGTACAGTCTATAAATCTTAAGGTATTAACTATTAATGAACTTTGATCAGAAGCAAACATCTTTATTTTGGTGATAAATTGGACTTGAGTCCAAGCAGAAGACTTGTTGTACTCTCAAGTAGACTGGGTTAGTTGAGTACATGTATCCACACACAGCTTAGGAAAAATTATCCTATTTATCTCACCTTCGTCAACATTTGTTCGACACTCAACTATACCTTCTTTCACCATTGCAACAAATGTTTTCTGTTGATCAAACTTATTGATAGCAGGTACATCATTCTAACCAAACAATTTATGGAGCAGTTTAGTTGCAAAAAATATATTAAATTTTATTAAGATATAACACATTGTCCAAGATATGAAAATTACGCACGCTTATAGATAAATTTGCCTCTAGTTGTTGTTTGTGCAATGTCTTGAGGGAAAATATTCATACTGCAGATTGTGATGAAAATGTCAGGAAAAAGCTTCTTTAGTTGGTGAATGAAGGTAGAGAAGTTTCTATGTCATCATTTTATGTATTCTCTGACATATGTTGTAATTGCCTAATTGGGAAGGCATTTACACAATTAGTGATCATGTGCCATATTGGATCTCTTAGACCCTGGTTGCATGTAAGATTTATGTCTTTATTAACCATATCATACATTCAAAGTAAGTTGTGACACAATGCTCATCACATTTAGGTGACGAGGACTGCCAGCGGCACTCGCGCTGCTAACAGCCCCTGGCTTTCGCCCCAGAAATAGGTGGGCTGGGTTGGGTTAAGGGTTAACCCAACCCTTAAACCAACCACACCCACTCTATTTTGGGGGTGAGAGCCAGTGGCACTGCGTGGATACCACTAGCATTCCTCTTAGGTGACACTAGCGTCAGCACTTAGAATCTCAAGAATCTTTGTGCGCATAATATTAAACTATCAGAGCAGTTACAAGGTCATCACAATATCACATCATACTTTAATGCTTTGTATATCATTAGATTTAGGACATAAATTTCCATTGGATAGGGAGCACCAACTTCCTTGGAGCTATTCTGAAAGCATTCTTCAGAGAGATAAAACTTAGTCTAATTTGTTGGAGAAAATAACCAATCCGGTGAAGAAAGGTTGTGATGTTAGAGCTTTTGCGGTTGACATGAGTCATCACATTGAAACGTAGAATTCTCCATACAGTGGAGCTTGGTATGTTGATATTAATTATGTTGATCAAAAGAGATCCCTATATTCGGAAATGTTGGACATTCAGCTTTTAGTTGTGCTTGAGTTCATAAGTAAAGGATTGAATTCTCAACCAAAAGTAAAGCGGAAGGAAAGAAAGGGGAAATAGAGTTTTAGCGGGAGAAAGGGTTAAGAGGATTAATTTTGAAGCAAAAGCTAAAGACATCTTTCTATATCTATTTGAAAATTGTGCATTTTATGATGTTAAATCACCTTTTCTAAATTAGACTAGTGTATTGTTTACAAGCATATAATCTTCAAATATGCTCATATGTTGGCCTTCCTCGTAGAGTCAGTTCTGGAATTTTTTAAAAGTATCTTATTTTTTTTAGGATCAGTCTTTTCTTATATGATTTGCTATGAATTTGTCAGATGCACATAAATGCAATTAATTAGACAGTTAATACCATACATAGATATGTATCTTGCGTGCATATTTATTTTAGGTTTTTTAATTTGTTGATTGAATTCTTTATTTAGTAAAAGTCAGTTTATACCTATATGTTTGTTGGTTGTCTTCTAAAACTCTAATTGATCGAAAACTGAACATTAGCTATTTTCATGTTGCTTTGTAAAAAAGTGTTTAGCCTAGGGATCTAGATAATTAAGGAGTTATGTATTGGGGTATATTTGCACATTGGACTTGGAAAAGGTCATTGACAATGTCAATTCTCAGGCTTGGGTTCACTGGAATTATTCGTTGGGCCTTGTGTAATTCTTCAGTATACTGTATGTGATTTCGTCATTAACTTATTTTTTTGTTAGTAATGCTCAGGAGTTTTTGGAGAAGATTCCTTCACAGGAAGATTGCTGGTAACTAAGGAGTGAGCTCAATGCCACTTATCACTCACAGGCATGCCATAAGAAGTTTAAATAGGCGTTCGCGATAATGTTTAAACATAGGATGTTGTATAGTTGGTTTATTCTAAGATCATGCTCTAGGCTTTTACATGTGCAAGATTTGTGGATGATCATCTCAAAGGTCATTGATTCTTTGAGGGAAATTTTGATTTGACAGCTTAGGAAGGTGAAGATTATCTTGAATTATTGTGCGGTTTGTTTGAGTCGACATTTGTTAGGGAATTGATAACAGAGAAATTTAATAATACTTTCTAAGGAGAAAAGATAACTCTACTCAAGGTAGGATACTTATCTAAGTCCAGTGATCCATGAAAGGAGGTATATGGATCACTTTTTGCTAGGAGACGAATACATGGAATAAGAGCTCCTCAAGGGGATATTAGCTTGCCAAATGTGGACATTATGGCATAGTTCGTGAAAGACATAGGATTATTAGGGTAGCTTTCTATTTATACAAGCGGTTTCTTGCAAACAATGGCATGCCATACCATGGATATGATCACATGGTAAATACTGAAAAACAGGCCAAACATGGAAATTACATAAGAACAATCTTTCATTTTTTAAATGTATATGATATATTTAAAGCTCTTGATCAAAAGATTGGTTTTAGCAGATTGTTATATTTAATGCTGCTTACATCTATAAAGTTTAACTTCCCATATATATTTATATGGATTTTGTAAGCATCAACGCTTTATCTTCATCTCATCCCATGAAAAACTTTTAGCTTATTTTACTTTTTTGGTCTCCTATTAAAAAGTACAGAACTTTTTGGTTTCGGGATGTTCACAGTTTGCAATTAAATTGTATGTCACATTCATTTTTCATTCCGCAATCTCATGTTTTAAAGGAAATTAAAGTTATATACAATTCCCAGATTTCCATTAGCATTGTTTAATATGGAGCTAACTTGCTTTGATGTGTCTTGGCATATTTTCTGATCAAGACATTGTGATTGGATTGTTTTACATTCATAGCATTTGAGAAATTCTTGCATTTTTACTGCACCAGTCAAACATCTAAATATCTGGCATATTTTTACATTTTCTAATAGCAAACATTGCAATGTCTTTAGGTTTTTAACTTAAAAAAAAGGGGAACTTTTGGGAGTGAGAAATAAGAAGGGCTTGTTTGGATAGAGGGGAGTAGGGGAGAAGGAAAGGTAGGGGAGCCCCCCCACCCCACCCACCACCACAAAAAAACGTAAATAAGGAAAAAAAATTGAACCTAGGGTAAGAGAATTCCCTTCCCTTCTCTTCTCTCCCCTATTTTCCCATAACTTCCCCTTCTTCCAATGAAATCTAAACACAGTGAAATTATTGGGAAGAAGTTCCCTCCTCTTGATGCAGCTACAAAAAGTATTGTGTTTAACATATACAACTTTTTAATAGTAGTGTCATATGTAGTTCTAGAGGTATACATGTGACCATATGTTATATAATACACTCAAGGTTAGAAAAGTTGCACTAGTTGGAGGGGACCCAGTATTTTTTTTGTTTTCTTACCTGAATCTATTGCTTCTTTATAGACATTACATACTTTCTCCAACTGGAGGATTTGGGTGTTCTGAGTGGCGTTATGTGATTGACAGTGAATCTGATTGGTACCAGGAACCTATCGATTACGAGAATATTAAGTATCCTCGTGGTGCAGCCATCTTGGGTTGCACCCAGTAAAAGAGCAAGGGAAATGAAAGGAGAAGGCGAGGAAAAGTGAAAGCTAACAGGTTCAGATGAACATTTTTGAGCTGTAATAATGACCATATTCCAACAAAATAACAACAGTTACTAGTTATTTTCACGCAAGACGGTATGTCAGATTGTTATTTTCATTCTGATCACCTTTCCTGTAAAACTTGGAAAATCCAGATCTCGTTAATAACAAGAAACAAGGACCAAGTTGGTTATTTTATTTGCAGTTTAACATACATTTCCTTATGTTTTTGAGAAATAGCCTATTTCTTTTTACCTTATTGGTGATTCCCTACATGTCCATTTGTTTTGAATTATTAAGTGAACATGCCCTTTCTACATCTAGCAATATACAAATTGAGTTAATAATGAAGTTTAAGGCATTAAAGCATTGTTCACTTATATAGGTAACTATATAGTAAAAATTTACGCTCATTTTTCCCATTCACCATTATTTTAATGAAAACCGTCATATTTCTCCATTAAGCCAGGACCAAAATAAAATGTTTGCTAAATGAATAAAATCTATAAATTTGAGCTTGTTTTGTCCTCTAAATTGTAAAAAATTAACTTAAGCCATGCATAATTATTGTAAATTAGTATTAATTAATTTCTTGCACCAGTGGAGGCAAATGAAGCTTATAGTTGTAAACTAACTCAAAACATAGTCTTTTATTCAACTTCGTTAAGGACAAGTATGTTATTTATTAGAAACATTAAAACGTATAGGCTAAAACCCCCCTTTTTAGTTCTTTAACTTACACCTGTTAATATTCATGCAAGTACAACAAACTGAGGTATTTTTTAGAATTTTTTTCTTTAATTAAAAGTTTGATGATGTCTCAAGCTTACCCCTGAAAATTGTTATCTGCTAATTTCACAATTTATTCTGATATTCTGGAAGGAATATCTTTTCAGTTTTCAGTTTTCAGTTGTGACCTTCAATCTTAAACCAGAGTATGTTTCAGTTTGTTTTATTTATTTATTTATTTATTTTTTTTATTTTTTATTTTTTGTTTTTCTCTTTTTTTTGGGAGGAAGGGTATGTTTCAGTTGTGATAGGTCTCTCCTACATGTCACTTTGTTAGCGTGATACTTGATATTGATAATGAAAAATTAGCAAACTCCAAGTTAAAGATGTAATGTTTATTTTCTAGATAAGACATAAAAGAAGTACCTTCTATATTGAGCTTTGGTAATTGATATCAGAAGCAAAAAAATGGCATACTCCTGGTAAGAGTAAACAGAAACAAGAATCAGGAAGTCAGGATACCTCCTTAAGACCAAGTGCAATGGCAAGGCAACTCAAAAATTATTACATCCAATAGCAAGGCAAATTGAAAGGCAAATGAAAAAGTTGGAGAGAGAAATACAATGGAAGGCAAATTTTGCCTTTGTGTTAAATTTCTTGTTGGGCCCCGCGTGTCATAAAGTTTTTACAATTATTCTCACCTTGTTTTTAAATGACTGTTTTGATCAATAATTACTCGAAATTAATTTTTTATTTTTTCACCACTATTTATTATTTTTCAAGATCTATTAATAGAGCTTGAGTTTGTGTTATTTGGACAAAGCAAATAAAACTTAATTTTTTACTTAATTATCATGATTGAGTGATGTGGAGGAAAGATAAAGTAAAAAACTTTTTGAAAAATTAGTTGATGTGGAATTGAAAGGCAATTGAAAAAGGCAAATGATGTGGAGGGAGAATAAAGTGAGGTGGAAGGAGAGAGAAAGGCAATTTTTGCCTTGCCGTTGAAGATGGTCTAAGCACTGCATCAGGTATTTGATGTTGACCTTTCTATGATTGAGAAAAATTGATGCAGCTATTTTGCTAAGCAAACTGACATAAGTTCATGGAGTTCATGCATATGAATTATTTACGTCTGCTGCTGCTTATGGATCTGAAAAATACTAGTCCCTTAAAGATCCAATATCTTTAGTTAAGATATGGTTCATTTGCGAAAGCCATTGACTCTTTTGGCCTGCAAATGTAACATTTATGTTTAGGTATTAATTGTTATTCAGTGAAACCCATTATCTATGTTTTCTAATTCTTTTTTTTTCACTATGATTCGCTGCAGTTTTCTTGGTGCCCCGATATAATTTCATCCGTCTTTCACTGGCTGGAGGAGCGTGGTAGGCTATCATCTGATTGCAGTCGGTGTTAAACGGATAAATGGGTTCTCCCTTCTGAGCGGAACACTTCAAGTAATAGTCACTTCTCACTGCTGCATTTTAACAGTGGCGCTATGCGCACATGTAGTTCTAAACTCCAATAATCGTCAGCAATTTGTGCAATATATTACATAAATAAGGGTGTTTTCTGTAAACCTTATGCCTAACTGAGATTGTAGGGAGGACTTGTGTATTTGTTGCAAGGTAGATTTGGTAACTTATGAGAAATCAACTTGGGAATTGAACGATGGATGTATGTTTTCTTATTAAGGGATAGCTTTGGATCTTTGGCATATGGTCTTGTGGCTGGATGTTTAGTGATGTTCATGGCGGTGCATCGTATGTATGTCGTAGGATATTAGTTTTCAGATATATCCTATTTTTTATGCTATAATAGTATGAAATTGCTTCTGCATGCTGCAGTGGCAACTTTGTATTGTGCAATTTCCTATTTCAAATCAAAATGAGTTATCAATTGGAATTTTGGAACTGATGACTGTCTTGATGAAGTTCGGATGATAAAATTGCTACCATGATTTGGATTGTCCGACTAGAAAATTTTGTCCTACTTTATAAAAAACTAACTTAGAGTATTGCAAACATTGAAGGAAATAGACCTTTAGTCCTTCATCCTACTCAAGATATACGGGCAATTCGAGGATTCTATGAAAATAGGAAACAAACCGAAATTCTCGATATTAGAATGCTATCCGCATCCAACATAAGAAATACATGCATACCGATACAAGATGCGTTGAATTATAAGCGCTACTTGATAATGTGGAGCTGTTATACTAGAAGATTCTTGATTTCTCTCTTCCCCGATCAATCACATAGTTGCAACTGAAATTGTACTTTTATTAACCTAAACCAAACATAGAAACTCAATTCACAAACCATTGACATGTTAGGGATTCGAAACAATCAAATCGAATATGTGCCCTTCCGGACCTCGTGTTTGAGAGTAGGAAAGTAGAAAAATCACCACAAATAAAAAATAAAACTTGCAGGAAAGTAAACAAGAAAGAACACACCAGATTTAATGAGGTTCGGCAACGTGCCTATGTCCTCGGGAGCCACACCACATAATTTTTTGATTAATTTGAAGAAGATTACAATGCCCACAAATATTTTTTTTATCTCTCTGAGATCTCTCTCTCAAGTAGCTGTCAAAACCCTCTTTTTTACATGTTTCACGTAACCCTAAAAGCGTTTAGGTATATATAGGATCCCAGCCCAAAACAGTTTCCAAATAGTTTAGGGAACTGGAAATCCCGTTCCCGGTCGACCGGGCCGTGTGCTTCGATCGACTGGCCAGAATGTCAATTTCGACAAGGTTTTGGTGCATATTTACGGTCGACCGGATCAAGGCCCTCGGTCGACCGACCAGAGCTTTGATTTCTACCTGTTTTCTGGCAAGCGTCACGATCTACCGGATCTCCTCTGTCGGTCGATTGGGACCGGACTGTTTTCTTTGTCTTTTTGATTCAGCTTTGGGTCTACATACTTAGACTAACAATCTCCCACTTAGAGACCAAAGCACTATCAATGAGCTCACCCGAACTCCTGCCTTCTTCTCAAGCATCTTCTCCTACACGGAAAAGAAAATCCATTCTTCAAACATCATCAATCCGGTGATCCCACCGATCCTCCTGATGTGGCTCCGCCTTCATCTCCTACGCGTGAAGGCCAACTAAAGTTGCGCACAACTCCAGTTTCTCGATGATCACTGCTTCCGTTAACATATACGCAGAATTTGTCTCCCAAAAATCTTCTCTAGCTGTAACTTCCCGTTCTCAATCAGCGAGCATATGAAATGGTATCTTACGTCGATGTGCTTCGTTCTGACATGATATACTGGATTCTTGGCAAGGTGTATAGCGTTCTGGCTATCACAATAAAAAACTCTGTTTCCCCGCATCAGATCCAACTCTTCTAGGCACCTGGTCAACCGAATCATCTCCTTGCTGGCTTCAGTCACTACGACATACTCTGCCTCAATTGTGGACAATGTTATAATCTTCTGTAGACGTGAGACCCAGCTCACTGCTGCGACGCCAAGGTATAAACATACGCTGTGGTACTTCGCCTCGTATCATGATCACCAGTGAAATTCACATCCACATATCCCCGCAGTACCAAATGCTTCCTCCTGAAACATAGTGGCTTGTTCGTAGTCCCTCTCAAGTAACACAATATCCACTTCATGGCCTCTCAATGCTGCTTTCCTGGATTGCTTGTAAACATACTCAAAACTCCCACCGTATGGGCAATATCCGCCCTCATGCAAACCATCCGTACATAAGACTACCAATGGCTGATGAATATAACACTCTGCTCATATGATCCTTCTCTGCATCTGTCTTGGGTGATTTTTCCTCAGATAACTTGAACTGACTTTTAAGGGGCGTGCTAACAATTTTAGCATTCTGCATGTTGAACCTCTGAAGCACCTTCTCGATGTATTCAGCTTGACTCAACTTCAACGTCCCTTCAGCTTCATCTCTACTGATTCGCATCGCAAAAATTTACTTCGTTGCACTCAGATCCTTCATAGCAAAATCCTTCACCAACTGCTTCTTCAAGTTGTTTATCTCCTCTAAACACGGTTGTAACCAACATGCCATCAACATATAATAATAACACGATATAGCTGGACTCAAACCTCTTGAAGTAGCGACAATGATCTGAATTACATCTTCCATAGCCATTGTTCTGCATGAAGTTGTCAAACTTCTTATACCACTGTCTCGGAGCCTATTTCAAACCATACAAGCTCTTCTTGGGCTTACACATCATCTCTTTATTTCCTTCTTCAATAAAGCCAACATGTTACTTCATGTAGATTTTTTCATCCAAGTCACCATGAAGAAAGACAGTCTTCACATCTAACTGCTCAAGGTAGAGATCTTCTGTAGCTACTAAGTTCAACACCATTCTGATGGCTATAAGCTTCACAACGGGAAAAAAATATCTCTATATAATCCACTCCTTCTCACTGTTGGAACCCTTTTACGACTAATCTAGTCTTATACCTCTTACTTCCATCACTCTCATGTTTGACCCGATAGACCCATTTATTATGCAAGACTTTTTTCTGTGCAGGTAGCTGTGCTAACTCTCATATCTCATTCGAGTAGAGAGAATCCATATCTTCTTACATCACATGCTCCCACGGCTGAGATTCACTAACTTACATAGCTTCCTCATAGCACTCTAGCTCTCCGCTATCTGTTAAAAGTAAATAATCAAGTGATGAGAGATATTCAGGATTCAGTTTGGGTACCCTAGATGACCTTCTAAGGTCTACGCCCTAGGTAGTAGCTTCTGTACTTGAAGTCTTCTTCGTTCTTCGGTCAGAACTAGCACTATCTCCCCCATCTAGAAGTTCCTCCAAATCTATGTACTCGGATCCATCTGTATCCTTAGTGCTGCTCCTACTATTTTGGTTATCTTTGGAATTATTCCTGTCCTTGTACATCATCTCCTCATTGAATTTCACATCCCTGCTCCTGATAATCTTCCTGTTCTTCTCATCCCAAAGATGATACCCGAACTTATCAATGCCGTATCCAATGAATGTACACTTCTGTGACTTAGCTTCTAGTTTATCCCTGATATGGTCACTGATATATATCACACAACTAAATACTCACAAGTGTGATAGATTGATCTTCTTGCCACTCCAAACCTCCTATAGAATCCCAAAATCTAATAAAACTGATGGCCCATGATTAATCAAGTAAGCTGCTGTATGCACCGCATCCGCCTACCTTAGGTAGATCTACATGTAATCGCATGCTCTTAGCATGCTCCGTTAATGTCTTGTTTATCCTTTCTGCAACGTCGTTCTGCTGCGACGTCCCTGGAGTAGTCCTCTCCAAATGAATCCCGTTTAGAGCACAAAACCTCTTGAACTCCTCCAACTCATATTCTCCACCGTTGTCCGATCTCATATACTTCACCTTTAGATCTGTCTCGTTCTCCACCATGGCTTTCCACTTCTTGAATATTCTGAACACCTCTGACTTGTGCTTCATGAAGTATACCTATAACTTCCTCGAGTGATCATCGATAAATGTGACATACTATGTCGAACCGCCAAAAGAAGGCACGCTAGCTTGGCCCTATACATCTATATGAACAAGCTCTAGCTTCTGAGCTTTAGGTGGCCATCCACCCTTCTGAAAGCTGACCTCTTCTGCTTCCCGTAGATGCAGTCCTCGCAAACACCAACTTCTACAGAATCGATGCCGGTTAGTTTTCCCTGTGAGTGTAGAATCTGTATGCCCTTCTCACTCATGTGTCCCAACCTATTGTGCCACAGATCCGTACTCTCCTTGCTAGCTGCAATTGCGAGGGTGTCACTCACAAGTGAGGTGAGGTAGAGAGTTCCTGTTTTGTTACCTCGGGCAATCACCATCGTACCGTTGGAGATTTTTCACGAATCCCCAGTTAATGTTAAAACATAGCCTTTCGCTCCAAGTTGGCCAACCGAAATAAGATTCTTCTTTAGCTTCGATACATGTCTGACATTATTCAGATTCCACTTAGAACCCTTCAACTGTATTTGCACATCATCTCTTCTAACAACACTGTAGGGTTCATTATCTCTCAAGTATACTTTTCCAAGATCACCGGCTATAAAGTTATGAAGAAACTTCCTATTAGCAGTAACGTGGAACGAAGCTCCCGAATCAATAACCCATGAATCAGAATCGCTATCCATACCAAGGATCAATGCATATTGTACGAGATGAGCCTCTTGTTTATTTACATTCTTCTTTTGTGCTTTACAGGCTAAAGACATATGGTCCTTCTGGCCGCAGTTCCAACACTTCCTTTTGATAGGCCTAACTTTTGAGTTTGACATCTTCTTGGTTGACTTCGATCGATTCCTGTTCTGGTTATCCTTCTTCTGGCTTCTGCCTCTTTGCTCGAGATTTAGGGCTGATCCTGAACTGTAGTAGCCGTTAAAAATTACCTATAGATTATCATACGTAGCTCAAGATAGAGAGAAGACGATAAAACTGTAGCCGTTAAAAATTACCTATAGATTATCATACGTAGCTCAAGATAGAGAGAAGACGATAACGTTATCATCTGAGTTGCAAATGATCATTCAAAGCTAAAGATCAACTAAAGAATGCACAAGAAGCGCACCATGCAAGTTTCAAGATGAAAAACATATCTTAGAAGCATAAGAGGAACTCACAGTTTCCGAGACAGTTACAACTATCTCGGAAACTACGTGTAAGGACCATGTATTTTGATACTAGTTAAAATAATTTTT